TTTTTCCTTGATTTGGCTGACTCTTTCAAAGTGCGTTGTTTGAACTTGGTATGCTCTTTTGATTTTTTCGTGCTTTGGCTGTTTGTATTTTATTTTGTTTGATACTCTTCTGATATTTTTTGTTGGTATGTTGCTTTGTTTTTGTTGATGTGTGTTTTTGAGTTTGTGTTCTTTGATGGTTTTTATTTTTGCTGTTTTGTTGGTATGCTTGTTTGAATTATTTAATGTTTTATGCTTTGATTAAATATTTTGTTGGGGGTTGTTCTGGTTTTTGAGTTGCTTGGTGGTTCTTATCTTGTTTTCTGTGAATTTTGCTGATTTTGTTGTATGCTGTTTGAATATTTGGGTTTGAGGCTAGAAGTGCCATTTTATGTATTTTTTTGGGGGGGGGGTCCCCACGTACCGCGCGGCAATTTGATGACGTTCCACTAAACGTAGTCTTCGGGGAGCCGGTGTCGCAAAACAGGGGTCCCAGGCTCGATTCCCCCTGCCGGCTTTTTTGCCGGCTTGGGCTTCCTGCATCCTGTTGCCGAAAATCTGGAAAAACTCAATGTTGTTGGACGTCCTCTTTGCGAAAACGCTGGAAAACCGTGTTTTTTTTGCGGGAAATACTGGGGAGCAAAGGGGAAGTGCAAGGATACATACATACATACATACATACACATACATACAGTACATTACATTACATTACATTACATGACATTACATGACATTACATGACATTACATACATACATACATTACATACATACATACATGCATACATGTATGTAAGCATGCATGCATGCATGCATGCATGCATGCACACATACATACATACGTACATACATTACATGCATTACATTACTTACTTACTTACTTACTTACTTACTTACTTACTTACTTACTTACTTACATACTCACATACATGCATACATGCATACATACATACATACATACATACATGCATGCACAGACATACATACATACATACATACATACATACATACATACATACATACATACATACATACATACATACATACATACATACATACATACATACATACATACATACATACATACATACATACATACATACATTACATACATACATACATACATACATACATACATACATACATACATACATACATACATACATACATACATACATACATACATACATACATACATACATACATACATACATACATACATACATACATACATACATACATACATACATACATACATACATACATACATACATACATACATACATACATACATACATACATACATACATACATACATACATACATACATACATACATACATACATACATACATACATACATACATACATACATACATACATACATACATACATACATACATACATACATACATACATACATACATACATACATACATACATACATACATACATTACATTACATTACATTACATTACATTACATTACATTACATTACATACATTACATTACATTACATTACATTACATTACATTACATTACATTACATTACATTACATTACATACATACATACATTACATTACATTACATTACATTACATTACATTACATTACATTACATTACATTACATTACATACATACATACATACATACATACATTACATACATACATACATTACATACATACATACATACATACATACATACATACATACATACATACATACATACATACATACATACATACATACATACATACATACATACATACATACATACATACATACATACATACATACATACATACATACATACATACATACATACATACATACATACATACATACATACATACATACATACATACATACATACATACATACATACATACATACATACATACATACATACATACATACATACATACATACATACATACATACATACATACATACATACATACATACATACATACATACATACATACATACATACATACATACATACATACATACATACATACATACATACATACATACATACATACATACATACATACATACATACATACATACATACATACATACATACATACATACATACATACATACATACATACATACATACATACATACATACATACATACATACATACATACATACATACATACATACATACATACATACATACATACATACATACATACATACATACATACATACATACATACATACATACATACATACATACATACATACATACATACATACATACATACATACATACATACATACATACATACATACATACATACATACATACATACATACATACATACATACATACATACATACATACATACATACATACATACATACATACATACATACATACATACATACATACATACATACATACATACATACATACATACATACATACATACATACATACATACATACATACATACATACATACATACATACATACATACATACATACATACATACATACATACATACATACATACATACATACATACATACATACATACATACATACATACATACATACATACATACATACATACATACATACATACATACATACATACATACATACATACATACATACATACATACATACATACATACATACATACATACATACATACATACATACATACATACATACATACATACATACATACATACATACATACATACATACATACATACATACATACATACATACATACATACATACATACATACACATTACACATACATACATACATACATACATACATACATACATACATACATACATACATACATACATACATACATACATACATACATACATACATACATACATACATACATACATTACATACATACATTACATACATACATACATACATACATACATACATACATACATACATACATACATACATACATACATACATACATACATACATACATACATACATACATACATACATACATACATACATACATACATACATACATACATACATACATACATACATACATACATACATACATACATACATACATACATACATACATACATACATACATACATACATACATACATACATACATACATACATACATACATACATACATACATACATACATACATACATACATACATACATACATACATACATACATACATACATACATACATACATACATACATACATACATACATACATACATACATACATACATACATTACATTACATTACATTACATTACATACATACATACATACATACATACATACATTACATACATACATACATACATACATACATACATACATACATACATACATACATACATACATACATACATACATACATACATACATACATTACATACATACATACATACATACATACATACATACATACATACATACATACATACATACATTACATACATACATACATACATACATACATACATACATACATACATACATACATACATACATACATACATACATACATACATACATACATACATACATACATACATACATACATACATACATACATACATTACATTACATACATACATACATACATACATACATACATACATACATACATACATACATACATTACATTACATTACATTACATACATACATACATTACATACATACATACATACATACATACATACATACATACATACATACATACATACATACATACATACATACATACATACATACATACATACATACATACATACATACATACATACATACATACATACATACATACATACATACATACATACATACATACATACATACATACATACATACATACATACATACATACATACATACATACATACATACATACATACATACATACATACATACATACATACATACATACATACATACATACATACATACATACATACATACATACATACATACATACATACATACATACATACATACATACATACATACATACATACATACATACATACATACATACATACATACATACATACATACATACATACATACATACATACATACATACATACATACATACATACATACATACATACATACATACATACATACATACATACATACATACATACATACATACATACATACATACATACATACATACATACATACATACATACATACATACATACATACATACATACGGTACATGCATGCATACATACGAGAGAGGGAGATTGGGGAGAGAGAGGCTTGGGGGGATGGGGAGGATGGGAGCAGAGGGAGGGAGAGAGGACGACAGAACACACAAGGGAGACAAGGAAGAGAGGAAGCAGGAGAAAAGGGAGAGGACAATGTCGGCGGACTGAGCCGGAGGCTCTAAAGTATATATATCCGCTGTAAACATGTTCATTTAAAAGGAAGCTCACGTCAGCCAGGTGATGTTGAAATCGCCAAACAAAAAGACCACCAAAAGGTGTTGTTGGAATCACCATGGTTTTTTGTTCAGCGAGTAGCGTGTCGCTGGGAGCGCCTGGAACGAAGAAGCACAACCTTTCACGAAGACTTGGGAGGTGTCGACGGTACCTTTTGCCAGCTCCTTGAAAAGCCAAAGGGAAAACCGAAGCCTGTTTTTGGTGTCCCCCCCCCCGTTTTGACACATGGCTATGTGCCGAAACCTACTCTTGACGCCGATGTCTGTGTGAAAAAGAGATTTGAACCCCTACAAAACGGTTCTCCTTTTGGCTTTGCTTTGGGAGGTCACCCTCAAAGCAACCAATGTGTCTTTACATCCCACTGCTACACATTTGTCCCTGCTCACTTTAAAGAACGAATCATTGACTTTGAGATTGCGTGTGTAAAAATGGGAGTCCCAAAACGGATTTCGTTGCTTCCTTCGTTTCCCCTCGAAGCCCAGGCTGAAAAAGGGGCTCCCTCCACAAAACGCATAACGAAGTCTCGAGAAATCTTCGCAACGAAAGCATGCCTCCAGCTTCTCGGGCGCGGCTGTTGCTGGCGCTGCCTGAACGCAAGCACGGCGCTTCCGCGAAGCTTCCTCTTTTGGATATGCATATATACACTGTATATATATATATATATCTTTATATAAGAGATACACAAGCAATACAACTTAAACATATCAACAAATACATGTATGGTCAAACAATAAGCAGAGAGTGAAACAAATAGTACTGATGATAATAATAATCACAGTCATAGCAGTAGGGGTCGTGAGGTGCGCGCCCTGTTTTGAGGCAAATCCATTTGAACCAAAGGGGGCCCTAAGCGAATCCGGAGGCACCCGGAGAAGCCTAGTGGTAAAACCAGGCCGTGCAATTGCGCCGAAGAATAAGCAACGTCTGGTTCCACCAAGGTTTGGTTACAATGACTTCTATTGGCCTTACTATACTCCCTAACAGGGGTCACTGGATTTCCCAACATTTACTTGTGGCTTCCATTGAAACTGCCACGTTTGGTAGTTTCAAAAAAAGAAAATGGAGGAAACCCTGCCTAAACTAGGTAGAACCATATTGGAATTGTGAACGGAACGGGGGTTCGGGCGCTCATTTGGACGGGGGTGCAAAACGGGGTGAGGTCAACTGGACGAAGAAACTCACCGGGTCGCCCGAAAACAACACTTGCTGAAGATGGAAGTTGACGATTGTCCTCCCCTGGTATTTGTGGAAATTCAGAGAGTGCCCCATGTTCCTCTCAACTGGACTGGATGTGTTGACCAAACCTCATGTTAAGGACCCTGTACATTCCCGAGCTAGGATAGCAATTGAGGCAGGGGAGCTTGCACATGATCATTGAGGTTCCAGTCTTTCTTCTGCAGATTCCATATGCAGTCCCAGTGCAATGTCATTCTTGCACCTCTCATCTGGGAAGGTCCAGTTCCCCTAAGAGTCCATGACTTGGTCTCAATCTTGGGGACCCCCAAACCGAGCGGTCCACTCCTTTGGAGTCGAATTGGCCGAATTGGCCGTGAAACCAGCGGATCGGCTTGTGGCGACATTCGGCTGGAACCGACGCACCGGGGCTAGGAACGTGGAGAACCATGGGCAAGCCTCTAGCTTTGTGCTAGTGATTTTGTCTTCGATACCGCTCAAACCCATGAGAAGGCTGCCAACATTGAAACTGTACTCCTACTTTATCTAGATATACGTCAACAACCTCTATCATATGGCGGCTCTCAAAACAGCAGATACCCCCCAAACCATGGGCTTCGAAACTCAAACGGTCATGTTTGTTGATTTGTGTTGGGATGATTTGGGGGCAGCCCCCTTTTGAGAGCCCCCCCTTTTTTATACTTGTGGGTTCGGGCAGAACCCAACTGTGTCGCCGCATCACTGAGTGGCTGAGTCCAAGAGCGCAGGTGTACTCATCAGCCTGAGGCTGAAAAACCCGGAAAAGGCTTGAGGGCTTCAGGAGACCCTCGTAATGACTTTGGCCCCACTAAACTGTGCCTGACATAAAGCTTGGTTCCTTCAAAACCTCACAGTGAGAGGTGAATTCTTGTGCCGAGAAACCAAGAGATGAACTCGTGCACTTGGATTTTCCCGTCTCGATTGGCATCTGCTTGCTTGAACAGCGCCTGCGCCTCTCCCTTTGGAACCTTCAGGGCTTCCAAAAGGTCAAGCATCTCGGCTTCAGATAGGACACCATCGCCAAGAGTGTCCTTGTTGGCAGGGGCTCCCAGTCCAGTTCATTTTGACGGGATTAACAGAACCATGTGAGCACAAAAACGATTGGACATCTTACTACATCAATACCCAGGATCATACTTGCGGAAGAGATCTTGCACCGCCTCGCGTGCGTCCGGAGATTTGGCTTCCAACGTTTTGAGGGCGATGGTGGGCTTGAAAGTGATGATCACCTCAGTGCCGTCAATGCTCGCCTCATGCAAAGGAATATATCGGAAGTCCGAAACTCCGTTCTTTGGCGGGTATTGGAAATGCGCGCCAAACGAAGTAGCGTGCGCTTCATCCAACTCGTAGGTCTCAGTCTCGCCAGCAAAGACAAGGCGGCATTTATAGTCATCTTTGAAAAACAACCGAAACGAAACGTCCACGGAGCATTGATTCACAAACGTCAGCTTTTGCTTCCCATCTGTTCCAGCTGTTCCGACGCTAGCCGTTGATGTCAAAGAAGCGGTCAGCTCGACCACTGCAGAGTTTGTTCCCGCTGGAAAGAGATGGGTGCTTGGTGCGGGCTGCGAATGCCAGTACCATGCCGTGAGCTGTGAAACTTTGGAAGCCCCTAAATTGCAAGACAGCTCCGCATCGGGCTTCACCACGTGTTCCTTCCGTGTTTCTTCACTGTCCAATGCGAGCATGCTGACGCAGCAGGCATTGCCGGTGCTATTGCGTACCCTCACAATTGAACCTTCCGCCGACTCCAAGACTCCGGAAACCGGCGACATTTTGAGGGCGATGGTGGGCTTGAAAGTGATGATCACCTCAGTGCCGTCAATGCTCGCCTCATGCAAAGGAATATATCGGAAGTCCGAAACTCCGTTCTTTGGCGGGTATTGGAAATGCGCGCCAAACGAAGTAGCGTGCGCTTCATCCAACTCGTAGGTCTCAGTCTCGCCAGCAAAGACAAGGCGGCATTTATAGTCATCTTTGAAAAACAACCGAAACGAAACGTCCACGGAGCATTGATTCACAAACGTCAGCTTTTGCTTCCCATCTGTTCCAGCTGTTCCGACGCTAGCCGTTGATGTCAAAGAAGCGGTCAGCTCGACTACTGCAGAGTTCGTGCCCGCTGGAAAGACATGGGTGCTTGGTGCTGGCTCCGACTGGTACCATGCTCTGAGCTGTGAAACTTCGGAAGCCTCTAAACTGCAAGACAGCTCCTCATCGGGCTTCACCATGTGTTCCTTCGGTGTTTCTCCACTGTCCAATGTGAGCATGCTGACGCAGCAGGCATTGCCAGTGCTATTGCGCACTTTGCAGCTCACCTTGCCAGACATCGTGGCGCAATGCACAACCGCGCTGCGATCAAGCTGCGTCCTGTCCTGACCCCAAATCTTAACCAAAGACATTTGGAAAGATGACCTTGCGCAACTCATTTCTCCGCTGACTGTTGACTGAAATGCTCAGCTGGTTTGTGTTTGATTTCTGAAACTCTGCTGCACCAGGAAACATAGCTTGGATCTTGGACTTGGGTGGTGACACCAATTGCACCGCCGCCTTGGCCAAAGTGCGCCGGAACTACCTCATCCCACAAGGCTAAGAATCCGCACGCTGGCAGGTTTCCTTGGTTCCCCTCTGACTTCAGGATCTTTTGCGGGATCAATGCATCCAATACCAAGGCATGTCCAATGATTCGGATTCAAAGCCACAGCAAGAAGAGCCGTCACCAGTCAAACGGTCCCCCTTGCTATGGCTCTTGCTGACTCATGTCAAGCCGCCTCCTTCAGCTCTTGGGCCACATCCCGCGTGCGCTCCAATCCTCGGGTTTTCGCCTGCGCACCCGACTTGCAAAGCCGCGCTGACGTGCCAGGTGCCGTGGGAACCTGACTGACTGACTGCATGAGTGTGTTTCTTGGAGGGCTCGTTTTGAGATGGGTTTACGGAAAAAGGCAACAGGAATCAATGTCGTATTTTGGAGTGCCCCCTATTTGACACATACCCAAGTGGCCTACAGTATCCGCTTGCACGCCTAGATCTGGTGACCCGCTTTGCAAGCGCAGAATGTCACTGGCACGAGAGAGAACCTTGGCGTGTGAGACAACCAGGTCCGGGACCCCAAACACAAATGGCCATGGGTCAAAATCCAAATCGTACTTTAGTGAGCATCCCAATCCCCACTAAAATAGGTTCTAAAATGGGTGGTGCACCAATCCCCCAAAATGGTACCAAAACTGTTTTGACAACCACAGCCAAATGACAAACCCAGCCATTCCAAGCTGGCCAAAAAGCTTCGTGCTGGCCTGCTCCTCCACGAGCTCTGTCCGAAGATCAACCTGTCCGGCCCACACAACCAGCGCGGTCTTGTGGACGTTGGAACAACATTAGGTCGTGATGATAGGATACTAGCAATTATGCAATCCTCTTATATGATCTGTCAACTGCAAAACAGTCATGGTAAACAAGCGCGTGAAGCGGTATGTCCTAAGCCAAGTACGGGCCCGTGGTACTACTTGATGAATTGCCGCGTCTGGCACACTGGCTCTGTCTGGAAAGCCTCTCATTGTCCGGCAGAACTTAATGCAAACGCTTAATCAAAGTCTAGTGCTCCCTCATTCATCTGGTGGTGGCCGTCATTGTCACCAGAGGAGTCGCGCGACATTTTGACGCCTCGGCTGACAGACGCCTCTACAGCAGAAGTGATGCAGCTGGGCGAGTTGAGCAGAGAAGGACGCCGATGGCCGTGAGGACGTCGCCTCAGCCACGGGGGCCACAGACTTTCTCAGTCTATGTTCTTCTGAAGCCCGACGAGGATAACGAAGCAAAGAGGGTTGCTACCGGCGGCAGGGTTGGTGGACATGGACTACGGACCTTGCGGGAAACTACGGAACGGGCACGGTGGTGGAGGTAAGTGTGTCTCTTCTCCTTGGTTCATCCTAGTTGTCGCTACCCCTCCACAAGAAGTGTAGGGGGGACTACATGCTTGATTTGGTTGAGGACCTCGCCGCTCGAGCAGGATCCCACAGTAATGCTTGCTCATGAGATTGAACCACGAACGCCCCGGGTCAACCGACCCAGCTGCCTCACCCACTGGGACTCATGGCCACAAAAATGCCGAGTTACCTGGAGCTGAGCAGTTGGAGGGCAAAAAAGACAGCAAAGTGGTCTCGGCCGTGCGTCAGCAATCGCGGGCTGGAATTGGACGTGCTGCCAGAAATGCGCACGACTGGTCTATGCGCTGAGCGCGGTGGGTGACGAACCAGAGATGAGTGGAGGTGGTGCGCAGCAAGCCACGCTACCACAAGCTCCGGAGGTTTATGAGGAGTGGAGGAGGAAAAGTTGGTTAGGCTCAAAGAGGTGATGCGGCCGTGAGCCGGCTCTTCAGGCCAGTGGAGAACACTACAAAGATCGCCGGAGAAGTTGATCCACGGCGAGGAGGGTGCGCTGTTGGAATGCTTCTGCTCAGCAGAAAGCTCGCTCAAGCATGCCAAGGAGAAGAGGGTCTGCGTGCGACAAGAGTGAACTTAGGTGAATTTGGCAACGACATGGATGTGGGTCAAAACCAATGTACCATTTTGGGGTAGGTGCACCACCCATTTTAGTCTATTTTAGTGGGGAGTTTGACCCATGGCCACATGGACCTCTACAAGCAGCTGGACGAACCTCGCGGAGGTAAAGCAACCGGGGCGGTCGCGGGGGTCGCCATGTGCTTGGTGCAGCACGTGGGGAAGATCAAACTACAGCGAGAGACCGGAGTTGATGGGCCCCAGCTCAAGTGTCAGGAGGGAAAAATGATGAAGTCAACAGGTACATTCTAAACTGGTTGCGCAAATACTCGGAGACGGGACGAAGGCCGCGTTTCTACAACACGCGGCTGGCGGCTTCAGCGCCGCATCTACGGGCATGGGTGAAATTTCAGGAGCCGTGATGGCAAGCCTATGATGAAGTGGACGGTGATGACCATGGAAGTGCATTTCTGCGCCCTCTTTAACTCTTCTCGTCCTCTCGTCATAGTCCCGAAGGTGGGGAGATGGCGACTGCGCACTCCCCATGGAGTGGAACCTCTGCCGAAGCATTGTGCGACTGAGAAGACAGCAAGAGGTGTCTATCTTGTGGCGTAAGGAGAAACCTGCGCATGCCTGACAGGGAGTAATGTGTGCCTCTGAGCCACAACACTATTTTGAAACCGCAACAGTCTTCAAGGCAACACCATCTCACCCAGCAATGTGATTTCTGTCCTGCAAACGCATCACAAAATATGTCTTACAATGATTCACATCACAACACAAGACCCACAAGTGAGAATCCACTGGCCATGAAACAGTCAAGACAAATGGTGGGGCTGAATGGCGTCCAGAGTTTGTGGGATACGGCGCCTTCCAATGGGCGTATGGCTGCTACTCGCTGTACACAACCGCTAGCTGCTTCCTGACTTAGGAAGTGGTTCGACCCAGCCAGACAAGGGCACGACATCAGATCTCTTCGAAGGTCGCCGATGGGCATCAACATTCTCTCGCCTCCCCGATGGACGTTGAGGATGCCGGCAGCGCCTGCACAGGCATTCACATTGCACTTGGCCTGGGATAATAATAGCGAAAAACGAGCAACCTGGTGGCTGCCACAGAGTGTCAGCCAAGGCAACCCCGCCCCCCCCCACCTCTTCGGTCAGCTTCTGATTCTGGCGCTCCGATTCTTTGAACTTCGCCTGACGCACAAATGTGTTTCACATGCAAGCGGCGCAGTCCCTCATACCTCTATGACGTCTGCCAAGGTCTTGCAAAACGTGAATACAGGTCACAAATAGTATAATGAAGTCCCCCGATAATGTGCTTCGCCGTGTGGATTCCCTTTAAACCAACCTGAAACGGGTACCGACTCCAAAAAACACAAACACACGACCACAAAGGCACACAAACACAAAAAGACGCAAGCACACAAACACGCGAACGCACCAACACACGCCAACACGCAGACACAAGCAGGCACGCAGAGACGCAAACACGCAGACATGCAGCCACACAAACACACAAACATACAAACACACAAACACGCAAGCATACAAACACACGCACAAACACGCGAACGTTCAAACATAAAAAACACACAAACACACAACGACACACACGCACGCAAATTCATAAACATGCAAACACACAATCACACGCACATACACACAACCACACACACACACACATATTCATAAACACGCAAACACGCAAACACACACACACACAAACAAGCACACAAACGTGCAAACACGCAAACACATACACTCGCAAGCACACAACCACACACACACACGAGCACACAACCACAAAACACACACACACACAAGCACACGAACAAGCAAACAGACTCAACACACCCACACACACACACAGTCACACCAACTCACAAACACCAAGACACACACGCACAAACATAGACAAACACGCAAACACACAATCGTGCAAACCCACACACACAAACACGCGAACACACAAGAACACCCACACACACACACACGCACACAAACAAACACAAACACAAACACAAACGCGGAAGCATACAAACACAACAAACAACACACACACACACACGCACACACAAAAAAAAAACACAATCGCGAAACTCACACACACACACACCAAAAACACAGAGAAAACACACAAACACTCAAGCATACAAACCCACAAACACCAACAAGCACACAAACCCACACAAACGCTCAAAACCGCACAAATACAAACAAAAAAACACACAAACACACACACACACATACACACACACACACACTCAAACGCACAAACACACACACACACAAACACAAACACAAACGCAGAAGCGTACAAAAACAAACAAACAACACACACACAAACAAGCAAACACACAAACCCACAAACGCGCAACTCACACACAAACACCAAAAACACGGAAGAAGCACACAAACACGCAAGAATACAAACCCACAAACATCAACAAGCACACAAACCCACACAAACGCTCAAAACCGCACAAATACAAACACACACACAAACACAGACACACACACACACACACACACACACACACACACACACACACACACACACACACACACACACACACACACACACACGCGCACGCACGCACGCACGCACGCACGCACGCACGCACGCACGCACGCACGCACGCACGCACGCACGCACGCACGCACGCACGCACGCACGCACGCACGCACGCACGCACGCACGCACGCACGCACGCACGCACGCACGCACGCACGCACGCACGCACGCACGCACGCACGCACGCACGCACGCACGCACGCACGCACGCACGCACGCACGCACGCACGCACGCACGCACGCACGCACGCACGCACGCACGCACGCACGCACGCACGCACGCACGCACGCACGCACGCACGCACGCACGCACGCACGCACGCACGCACGCACGCACGCACGCACGCACGCACGCACGCACGCACGCACGCACGCACGCACGCACGCACGCACGCACGCACGCACGCACGCACGCACGCACGCACGCACGCACGCACGCACGCACGCACGCACGCACGCACGCACGCACGCACGCACGCACGCACGCACGCACGCACGCACGCACGCACGCACGCACGCACGCACGCACGCACGCACGCACGCACAGACGCACACGCACACGCACTCAAACGCACAAACACAAACGCATGCCATGTGCAGGACTTACAGCAACCAGCCTGCTGCTCCTGGAGCTCTTGCCGAAGCTCGGCCTCTTGCTGAAGTTCGTCTGTAGCGGAGGGTTCCAATTTGGGGGGGTGGCCCTGAAAAAATCAGCGCCCAAAGCAGAATTGACGCTAGATGAAGCTTGGATGGGTGTACGGGTGTGTGTGTGTAGGTCTTGCTATATGCCAAATGAAAGGATAGTGATAATGGGGTTATTCTACACACATGGTCCTTTGGTGTACCCCCCCAAATTTGCTCCCTTTCAACAACACCCCACCAAAGAGAAAATCTGGTCAAGTGATCTTTCAGACAGCCGAAGCGGTAAGTGCAAGGACGCCTGCTCCAGCCGGGTCAAAAGAGCCACTGCCAGAATCTTGCTGACTTTGGCATTTGAAACGTGGCGAGTACCTCCTGCAATGTCTGTGCTGAAAGAAGCACGCGTGGTTCAATGCTCTGTGGTGCACATGTGCAAGTACCGCCATCAGCCATGGCTATCAGCACACGCAGGGTGAAGGTACTCAGATTGATTCCAGAGGCCCGCCTCTTCGCTTCTGGTGGCAGCTGCAAGTGCCTGTACGTCTGCACACAACCGCAAGGCCTCGTTTTACAACACAAATACAGTGACTTGTTGTTGTCGCCATTGCTGCTGTTGCTGCTGCCGATGTTGTTCTGTTGCTTCAGAGGGACTTCTGGCACAGCCCTCATGTCCTTGGTCAGAACTTCCCATCACTCTCACTGGACAAGTGAAAGAAGCCGTTCTAAACGGTGAACAACCCTGGTGGCTCCGCTGAAAGTAGCCCAGGCAAACCCCTCCTTCACCTCTTCGATCAGCTTCTGATTCTGGCGCTCCGATTCTTTAGACTTCACCTGCGCGGCTACAGGTGGCCCCGTGTCTCCTGAATACTGCGAAATAAGTCATGTCTATTATATATATATATATACATAGTGTATAATATATATATATATACACATAGGGTATGTTTTAGGGGCACCTGTAGGGGCAATGGTTCACCTGCTATGCACAAGTGGGCGAACCCGCAAGATGTACAAAACCGGACCCTCCGCCTCGGTAATAACATCAGGGGTGTCAAACTCTGAACATTGCCCTGAAATGGTGGTTTCCTTTTGGCTGGGTGGAAAAGGCGTCATGTTTCAATTGGCCACCTATCTTTTAATCCAGTTCTTCCACAAATAGCCATGGTTATGACCCGCTTGTCTCAGTAGGTTGAACATCGAAGTGGCAAGAACCTGCCCGTCACCTCCTCCTTTTGCCATGCAGAAGGCCAGCCTGCTCCTCCGCCAGCACTCGCCGAAGCTCAGCCTGCGCCCATCTCCATGCTGTTTTCCACAGTCCTGAAACATGTCCCCTTAAAGCTCACCCCAAGAGAAGCTCAAGTCGCAAAAAGCCAAGAAAATGGCTGAAACATAATGAATTGGCAAAAACAAAACGACTACTACACTTAACGCAGGACACTGACGCTATCGGCCACAGGTTAAGGCACTTGGCATCGATTTCAGCCTGCCTCTTCGCTGTTGGTGGGAGCTGCAAGGGCCTGCACGTCAACATCACAAACCTTCACACCGCTGCACACAACTGCACACAACTGCACAACTTCCAAGCTGAGTTCAAGGGCTCGACGGATTGTCACCTGTGGCCACGGCCAAAACTCCTTAAACTCTTGTTGTGTGGCACCATCATGACCCCCTGAGAAAGGAGCCTCATCATGGTTCTCTATCTGTCGCACGCGTGTCTCGCCTTCGCGCGAGGTGCTGGAGCTGTGGACGGCAGCGCCTGGGATCACGGGCGGATCCAGAAATCCATGAGTAGCTGAGGGGGGCTGGTCTTCCCACAAAGGGGGGCATGGCTGGCAATATCTCTGCGCTTTGCATTGTAATTCCAAACATGAAATATGGGATTCCCGAGTAAAGGATATGATGGTGAGATCGGTTTACCCTCACGTGAGCTCGCCATAAAATTTTCAGATCCATGCAAAATGATGGAACCCAAGCGTTCCGAGCGGAACTTGCGCAATAGGGCTACGCAAGTGCCTTTGGAAGTCGGCTGGGCGTTCCCTTCAGCCAATGTTCTGCCGGCTTGCCCTTTGGCTGGTAACATGGAACCGCTTACATTGATGCTCGAGCAGGTGCGGCCCATTTCGCGGACCAGACGCGATGCTCTTGGTCCAAAAAGTGAGAGAGAGAGAGAGAGAGAGAGTCAAAGGCCTGCTGTCCAGAAAGCGACCTACCTTAAAGGCCCAAAAGGATTCTAAGACTTACAGTACTCCTGGGCGGGTTGGGACTATCTCTCCCGACACAGCTACCACCCGCCGGCTCCAACATGATCCCCCGGAATCAAAATCACCGGCCGTGGGAAACCTTGCTACCCGGTGCCTTCGGCTCCTCCGCCGGGCCAACCTGAGCGCACCGTTTGAAGGACCGAGGCCCTGGGGCCCGGCCCATCCCGCACCACTTGACGTGGAAATCCCGACCGACCATTTGATGTTTGAACCAGCGGGAAATCCAAGGATCCATCCATGCCATCAAGAGCCCTGTTCCTCCCATACACCAAACAGAATCAGTACACCTGGCAAATGGTTTGGACCTCAGAGAAGCGGCGGCCGCCTGGCAAAAAAATCCAATCTATAGCTGCTACGTTGCTCCTTGGTTCTGTGCGGACTTCATCTAAACTCGCGGAAGCGAGCCTTGTCCGTGATGTCTTACTCCTCGCTCCCTTGTTAAACCTTCATGAAGCCTCCAAGAGGGTGTCCAACTCGTCGTGGCACAGTCTTATTCTCAATGGCAACTGGTCACACATTGTGCGATGGGCCGGATTACACGAGTGACCTTCCCGCTCGTCCTTTCATACAGATTATATTATTTTGCCAAAACCAGGCAACACAAGTTCCCGTTCACTTTTCGGGAAGAATAGAGACTGCCTGCAGACGATGGTGATTGGTTCAGTATCATTGCCTGGTACCAAGTATCAACCATCAGCTGGCCCATTCTTGGTGGATTGGATTTGTGGTTTGGTGAGGGGGTGCTTTCCCTTCGGTTTAGTCAAGAAGCATTTGCACACCACCAATCGAAGCCGCCAATTTAGGGTGACATGAAAGGGGATCTGGTTTTGAAAGAAACCACTCATGTGCCAAAGGTATAAAAATAGATTACGAGTCATATTTGGAGGGGAGCAAAATTAAGGGCTTTTTGTTTGGTTTCCCTTGAGTAGGGCCCAACAAAGCGCGCACACACACACACACACAACATAAGCGGACACCTGCCATTTCCAACATGGCAAATTCCTTCACTTCCCAGGCACGTTCATCTTTGAAAATCAACGTGTGGCACTGAGCTACCCATTTGGCGAGTCTGCTGCAAACAGAGCATTGCCAGACTCACTTATTCTTTTTTGTCTTGGTTTCTTCCTCATCTTGTGACACTCCAGCACACCTTTACCTCTAACCAGGTTTTCCGGAATGACGCCAAGCTTCTCAATTGCAAAGCTTTCTCATGCTGGCAAAAAGATTGGACACATCATTAATTTGAGGACATATTTTTACGAGTCAGCCAAAACCATAGCTTTTGCTGCCAACTCCTTGTTTGATACCCAATTCGCGCTTGCAACACCCATATTTGGGGAAGTCCCACCGGGCACGCCTATTTCAGGCAACTCCCAGCCTGAAACAGGAAGGGGTACAAGAGAGGGTTGACTTCAAACCATGGCCATCACCCATTTGGTTGAACATCCAAGAAGGACTTTGCGTGGTTTAACCACCAGCCTTTTCTGTTGCAAGATCTATTTTGAGCTGCGTGTGGTTTCCTCTTTTATGGGTTTGTCCTTTCACAATCATGGTTATTACTCCCCTGCAGTTTAACATGGAACCCAAAAATGAGTCATGCTTAGAGGAATCTGCGGGAGTGCTGGGTTGAATATCCAAGAGGCTTCACTTCTCCCTGTCCCGTGACAGAAATTTGGAATGAGCCAGAAATTTTGAACTAGCAATACTGCCACCACAGGGTCCCCTTGAGGAAAATGCTCTCCCGGCCCCCAGTCAGGCTCCGTCTTGGATGCGAGGGTAGGATACGCTTCTACCTGAAGTCTGCGTATTCCAGGTCGCAGAGCTAACCTTCTGGTTCAATAAAAAGCCAACAGTAATCTAAGTGGCTGACCCACCCAAGAATCATGCCATGGAGTCTCCATGATCCTTACGGGGTCATTACCGCAAATTGATGGGTACGCCACCCCACGTGTACAAGGTCATGTTGACTCCAGGCCAGCCATGATTTCCCTGCCATCCGGCCTGGTCTGCTAGCTCCCGCCGGAGCTCCACCTGGCAACGAGCGGACATCACTTGCATGGGAAATTGGTGTTCACCAACGATTCTCCGATTTCAGGGTGGTCCCCCAACGATGCATCAGAGCCATTTGGGTACGTTTGGGGAAACCCACCTTGTGTGTGGCGTAGACGTAAACCAGAAGAACGGTGGATAGTCAGAGTGGAGCCAAGTCTACTGGGCTCATACCTCTTGAATGGGACCCGTCCCTATTCATCCGAGTTTTCTGATCCTGGGCCCTCACCCCGCGGTGGCCACGGGAAACCCGTCTGTTGGATCTTAGAGGGAAACCCCAACAAACCAAAAGCCCAGAGCACTGAATGTCTGGGTGGGTGGGTGGGTGGGTGGGTGGGTGGGTGGGTGGATGGGTGGGTGGGTGGGTGGGTGGGTGGGTGGGTGGGTGGGTGGGTGGGTGGGTGGGTGGGTGGGTGGGTGGGTGGGTGGGTGGGTGGGTGGGTGGGTGGGTGGGTGGGTGGGTGGGCGGGGTGGGTTCCCACCAGTTTCCAACCCCAAAGGAAGCTCGGCCTGATCCTGCTGCAGCTCCTTCTCCTTCGCCTGCGAGGTGAGTGGAACCTTCCGGGGGTAAATTCCTCCCTTCTGAGCGCTGCTCAACACAGGGGGCTTGATCGTTGTTCCAGTCTTTGCAACCATGGGCTCTTGTCAAGAAACAAGCGTTTCCTTCCGGGGGTTGGGTCAACTGATTGTTGTCCATGAGTTGAGGCCTTCCAAATTGTCCAGATGGTGGATTCCTGTTCCATTCTTTGCAACCATCGTGCTTCTAAAAATCCAGCGTGAGCCACCTGAGCACCATGAAAACGTGCTGAGTTCTCTTGAAACATGGAGGGGTTAGAGCCCCAAATCGGTTGCAAACCCCAAAACCTCTGCTATGTTGCAATTCCGTTGGCCTAGAATATGCTTGGCCTATTGGCGCATGTCGAACACTTCACCCCCTTCTGCACAGGAGACGAGCATCCTCTTCCAAAGGCCCCTTTGTCCACGTCGCTCGAATACAGGGTACCCCCCCCCCACGCGCTTTTAGCGCTCCAGTCCAGCTCCGCCTGCGCTTGCCGCAGCTCAGCCCGGAGCTCAGCCTGAAACGGTCCCAGCCCCCAGCCATGAGCCTATGAGCCTATGAGCGGCCCCCTGGCTGTAGTGGGAAAACAGATTATCAGTATTTGTTTGTGAGTTGGCCACATGATCTGTGTAAGACCATGGGCAGAAAAGGTAGCAGCTGGCAACGGCACCCTTGCAAACCAACCTCAAAAAATCAACTAAACACCTGCTGTTGGATAATACCGGGCCTCAGCCCCTTTTCAAACCGGGGTCAATTGAATTCCGACATCATGACATTCACAAGCAAGAGGATGAACAAGGGTTGTCCGTGGTTTGATGGTTCAACGTTGTTGGGACAGTCTGCGATGCAGGCGGGCGGTGGGCACGCAGAAAATCAAAAAGAATCCTTGCAGCCCAAACCAACACGTCACGGATTTATACTTCATCCACACATTTGTCTTCACCACTGTGGCTTTGTAGTAACACATACTCGGTTAGGTCAGAAATCGGGAATCTTAAAGCCAGCCCGGCTGCGAGTGGATGATCGATGAAAACTCAGAGCCAAATGCGTCTGCTCACATGCCATATGGCTCCGGGTCAAAACAAGGTACCCAAAATGGAACCCTGATAAGTGGAAGCATGGACTAAAACCTGCGGTCCCCTAGTGGTTTAATTTTGACCCGCACCCATATGTACAAGTCCTTATCTGGTGATGGTGAACTTTATTGGAACTTCCAAAATGGTCGCCTGAATTCTCCTTACTAAATCCCAAGCGAGAGGATGTTCTCACCATGGTCCGCGCGCGCAACTCTGTATATGGGCCTTGGTCATGGTTCCCTTCATAGGAACCCTTAGCATGGTTGTCCAATTAAAGGGTTGACCATCCCCACCAACCTCGAGCAAAGGGGTCGTTTGACCATGGTACGCATAGTACGTATGGTTCGTATGCCTCCTCACCACCGCACCATTGCTTCCCCCCTGCAAGCCTTCTCACTCTCCATCGCCTGGACATCAAGGCCAAAAGCAGGCAGTCCGCTCGGTCGGTCACGGTCACCCCTTGCAAGAAGTTATCAACTGTTTGCCAAGCAAGAAAACAAAGTCAAAGGCGCATCGGGAACTTTCGCAAAAGCACTCAAATTGCTCCTAGTTAGTATTGAAGCGAGCGAGGTGTGCGTGCATGCGTGCGTGAGCGCGTGAGAGCAAGCGCACATGCAGCGCCGGGCGGCCGGGCGCGGGCGGGCGGGCGTGTTTGCGCGTGCGGGAGCGAAAGCTGCTGTGCTGCGTGGGGAACAGCTTGTCAGTTGCCATTTCTCCGGCTCAGGAGGCTCCGCAAATCGCCTCCACCAGGAGTTACACCACGGCGTGACATCCAACGGCAGCGTCTTTCCCGCCACAATGGTAAGGCAATGGAGGGGTTAATCATGGGCATTGTGGGCTGCGAGATAAGCCAATGCAGCAAGATGCCGCGCGCGGCTCAGACGCAGCCAGAGCTGGTTACTTTGCTAGCTAGTTATTGGAGAGGCTGTTGCTAGTGGCAAGATGGACATCTTTGCCGGTTGGCCAAAGAGCATGTTGCGGCGGGTAGTCAGTGTCTGCTCAACTTTTGCAGTTGGTTGGTGGGAAAATGGTTGCTAGTCACTTAGAGAGGAACAGTTCGTTGGTAGATGTTGCGGGGAAGCTGTTGTTAGCTACCTGGTGTGATGTTTTGCTAGTTAGTTGGAACCTTCTCTAGTTACTCAGTGGGGGAAGCATATGCTCGTGTCCCAACAAGTTCAAAGGTTGCTTTGGTCAAACCAAGCAACCAAGTGAACCTTTGAAATGCTCAAAGAGTGCGTGAAAGCACACTAATCAGAACCTGCATTTCATACTCCCCCTTTGGCGGACGGGTTTAGAACAAACCAGCATATCCTGCATGGTATTTGCGGAGTTTCTCCATCCGATGCCTTTTCCGCCAAATTTCAAAGATAGCCGCCCTCTCCAACAAACAAAGGGACCTGCAAAAAGCCCAAGCTTTTGCTGGTCAGAAAAGGCCCAGGGGCGAAAAGGTTCGCTAACACTCTCACTTCGTTTGGTGCCTTTCGGTATTTGAGCAGCTCTGAGCCAGTCCAAAGGGTCTCACTCAGGGGTTGCATCTGGTGAACTACCCCATTCTGTTGATCCAGCTGAAGCCTTGTCGTGGACCTTTTCTTTGAGCCTGGTTCCATCTACCTGTAGGTTCCCACGGTACCACCCGTTGCGGCATCTGGGCCGGAGCTGGTTGCCAACCCAGCTTGCCCGCGAGCCTCCGCATCTGCCTGGAGCCTCAACCGCATGCTCGCCAGCTCCTCGATTTCGCGACTTTTGCCCAGAAGAGTCCCCCGGCCTCTTTCCGATTTGCGACAATTGAAGTGGACTTCAATTTGGCACCTTGTCCACATCCAGATTGTTGAAACAGGGGTGCTCCCCTGCAAATTCACGACCTGTTTGGGGCCCCAAACAGGAGCTTCCTCTTGGTTCCATGTGCATGCGCTGTGGTCCTTTCAACTTTTCTTGCAGAACGTTCCACAATTTGGATGCTACTGTGTATGGATTAACTCCTGCACCACTTTGAAATCATAGGAAGCCATTGTGCGTTGGTACTTACAGGCGAATTCTTATTCCAGGGCTTTTTTAGGCGGTGCAACATTTCGTCCATCCACCGTATCAAACAAAGGTATCCTCTTCCCAACAAGAAGCGGAGGAGAGTTTTGGAAGACTACCATCCTCTGAACAGGCCCCTTGTCCACTTGTGTGATTGTTGAGCTAAAAGCCAAGACCAACCAAGAGCAACCAGCAACCATCGTTGCCGAAGAACCACATGTTGCAGCTCGCCTCTTCGAGCTCTTGCCGATGCGCCTGCCGGGTCACTGTCGAACGGCCGGCGGATCTAAGCTGGTCGGAACCTAGATGGCAATGCGTCAGGTTGAGTCGGATCCCTCCAAATAGTTGATGCCGTTTGTTTTTGACAAGCAACAGACAAGGCGCCCCATGATTGTTTTTCAGACATCGAACAACGGAAGAACAAACAAATATTCAAAGTCATGCGATTGGATTCGAGCATGGGACTTGTGGCGCGCGCGTCCACGAATCAAAAAGCGGCCGCCAGAACTGCCAGAAGCCTCACGAGTTGGAACCTCCTCCGTGGCCCGTGGTGGGACACCACAAGGGAACCAACTACCATGTGGCATTAAGATGGAGAGGTGAGTTGGAGCAGCGCCAAAGAGAGCAAGTTTGGGCGTGTCTCAAAACAGTTCCTCTTAGTTTCACCAAAAGGGGAGGAGGTGCACGCAAAAAGATTCACGCTAGTTGCTCGCCATTGCCAAGATTGCTCCTGCCCACCAAAAGTTCGCATTTGTCGGGCCCGGGAAGATACATTCCCACTCGCTCTGCGAGCAAGCATGAGAGCTCCCTGCGGACAAAGGTCTTGGTTCCCCAAACGGGGATTGGACAATTGAGCGATCTCACCTTCCACCAACAAAAAAGACGGGAAGTGCACAATTTCCTTTGGAAAGGGGGTTGACCCTTTAGCCCCTCACTGCGGGAACCGCAATAGAGGACTTTTCAGGAAGAACAAAGACATGGATCCCTTCTTGGGGCCAGGATGGAACTAGCGAATCCCGCATCCAGTTGGCACTTTCCGTTGCCCAGAAACGACTTCCACGGAGGCTTTCCTACCAGGCGACTATGTTTGGTTTACGAGCAAGTCGAAGACGGGATCATTGGCCGGCGGCTCATCTGGTGGAGAAGAAGCACGACAGCAGTTGAAGCTTACTCGTCAAGCTGTCAAGCATATCGAGAATAGCAGCAAACCAAAATCAAGCCCACCAAACCCTGATCCCCAGATCCCCGCGAGCCCAATTCCCGCACAACCAAAAACCGCACCAAATCACACAATCCAAGCCTGCCCAGCCACAACCACTGCAAGCCAAACCCCCCCCTCCAACCAAACCGGAGAGCCAATCCCCCAAGAGCTGACCTGCTCCTCCTGAACCTCCTCCCGGAGCGCCTGGCAGCTTTGAGGTGTGTGCCTTTGAACCTAAGGTCCCATCTTGGTATCTGAATCCCCTTCTGGCGTCTTCTTCCATTTTCAGGAAATTCAACTTCAGCTATCCAGCATCCTTCTGTAGATGTTTGGATCTCTTCCGAGTCGGTCGATTTTCAAAGTCACCCAATGAGATGAGGCCCGCCAAGACCCCACGGCACAGGCTGTCCATGTCCAAACAAAAGAACGGCCGACCCCGAACGGCCGAAATGAAACGGCTGGAACATTGAACCCCCAACAAGTTGATGTTCCCGTTATTTGTTGGTTCCCACCAAAGGGTTCACAAAGACGACGCACGCTTCATGAAGAGACTGGCACCAGAACCTCGAACCTCTGGCTGACTGCTCAAGGCTGTATTTCTTGAAATAAGTCTTTTTGAGTTTCGCCTTTACCTGCAATTCAAAACCATCGAATCATTGGGTTCCCCATGAAAGGAAACAAACCAAAGCGCAACTTGCGATGCTTCCCTTGCCCGACTGGAGAAGTCAAAGGCGTTGTCTCAGGGTGCCCCAACTTCCCATGAGGTTTTGGCATCCTCAATGTGAAGGCAAGTCATGGCTGGGGCACGAAAAGGCCCTTTGAATCCCCTGAGCAAAAATACAGGGTCCCTCCTTGATCATATTCCTTTGCGGAGCCCAACGCACAGCAACACGCAACGACACTGTCGATGTTCATTTGAGCAACAATCAAATCCTGGTATTAAAAGAGTCTCTGCACAAAACCATAGAAAGAATCGAAAGGACGCCGGCTCAGCCCAAAGCCCGGCAAAAAGGAGGGAGCTTGCTCATTCTACCTCAACCTTTGCCCCCGACAATAACTTACTTGACTTTGGTCTATACCTCCCTCCAACAATCATGGGAGCATACAGGGCGGAGGCCGATTTTCCTCTTGGGGAACCCCTTCAAAATGAACACTAGTTCAAAAGAGATACCATGGCACGCCCATCTGAAGCAGACACGCCGACTCGCCTTCTGCTCATCAGCCTGGGCCGTGCGGTTGACTCTCGGGGTTTGGTCATTGGATGGCCAATGAGCGAAGCAAAGCTCGTGAACCCCAGGTTGCCATACCTGGAGTCTCCATGACCCTTTGAAAATGGGTCCATGACCCCATTATTTTGGGTCATGACCCCATTATTTTGGGTCATGACCCCATTATTTTGGGTCATGACCCCATTTTGAAAGGGTCAGGATGGTTTTGCCAAACAGGGATTGCACTTGAGATTACACCCACACAATAAGAAGAATCAGAGAGGGCTCTATTTCCTCTCAGGACTCCAGCCTTGCGAGCAAACAACCTCACTTGATGCCGAAAGATCCGAAGGAATCCTTAGCCCACTGTTTTGAACACCACCTATATTTCCTCGGACACCACCCCAGCAAAAGGAAACTTTAAGCTGGCAACCAAAAGGAGATGCTTGAAACAAAAATAAACAAAATGCCTCAAACGGCAAATACGGACATGCCTTTTTCGAGGGTACCCTTGTTACCGTCTTTTCAAATCGAAATCAACCGCTGCAACAGGCATGGAGCTCTCACCTAAGGCCAGCGCCGGCCCATTCGCCGATGGCGCCTCCGCCTGTGGTTTGAAGGAATGGTCGGTCTGTCCTCTGGAAAACGGGTTTGGATGCACCAAACGCTTGGGGCTCCCTCCCTTCCTGAAGCGTTTTTGTTTGTGGCATCCTGGTTGGACACTTTTGGTTGGCTGGTTTCCGAAGTTTGCTGGGTTGGTGCTCGCCTGTACCCGGCGGAGGTATCCACAATCGGCGATCCCATGCCAACCCTCGGTACTGTGAATGAACAAAAATAATCACTTCGCACGAGGTGGTAGGTGTATCCCAATATTTGTAGTTTGTCCATCCAACCAGTGCAGGATTTTGTCGATCCACTGTAGTCTGGACAACTTGAGGAGCGGGTGAACGAAAGCTAGCAGTTGTTGCATGAGATGGGTCGGTGACAGAGTGGATTAGGATGCGACACGCAAACGCACATGGTGGCGTGGCAAACCTTGAAAAATGAAAACAACGAGAGGCGTCAGAAGCTGTCTTAAAGCACCTCTGGGTTCTGCATGCTGCGTGTGCAAAGATTCTTGCGAGGTGGTTTACTGAGAAGACTGAGGTCTCAAATGAACAAGCTAAATCGGGGAACATGTAAAAGTTCGTAGCACCAAGTCCAAAACGGGCAAACCGAGACTGCTGAACACTGAGCCACTGCCCGGGGGGATGGACCAGGGAGGAATCGAGCCTGAGACCGGGGGGGGGGGGAGGAGGGGGGGGGGTCTAAATAATTGATGTTTTTCAATCTTTTCAAATAATTGAAAAAATCAATCTTTCGGCATTTGAGCCCCTTACCTTGCTTACGCAAGGAGAAACTTCAGCTAGCTACAGCTAGCTTTCGTGATGAGGCAATCAAGAGATTCATACCTTCAGCGGGCTCTGCCCAAACTCCAAGCCAAGCCCTCGCTGACGTCCTGCCGTGTTGCCATGAGGCCCCAGCTTTGCTTGTGCCATGCAAGCGAAATGAAGAAAAGATTGCCCTGGCTCAGCTCTCCCTTCATCGACTGCCTGGATTTGGAATTTTCCTCCCAGGGTCGACCCTTGCCATCGCAAAAAGTCTTCCCAGAGGGCCCCGCGAATCCTGCTTGTCCTGCAGTCTCACACTCCTTGGTGTCAAGGAAAAGCAAGACAATTGTGGGTGAGTCAAAATTGGCTGACCCCACAAACGGCGGGGTTCTTCTGCAAAAAACCACTCCAAAGCGGGCACCACTAAGTCACTATGCATCCTGGTTGGTTGGGCTTTTGTCCAGGCCCGTCTCCCCGTCTCCCCCTTCTCCGTGCCTGTGGCAAGCTTTGCGTCAACTGCAGGGGGGACAGAGACAGTGGTTCTGCTCTGTGAGCCAGACAATGGCCATAGTTTTCTTCACAACATTGATTGTCTCAAATCCCTGTGAGAAATTGAGAGCCCAGGCACAAGGCGTGGCTAGACCACGGCATGAAAATTTGATGGGCTTATTGAGTCAAGCTGGAGACGGAGATCCCGAGGGGATCACTCCTGCAAACATGGAGATGCACAAACCTGTAGAAGACGATGTTCCTTTGACGGGTAGAAAGTTGGTGCCCTAACGAAGGGACAGTACAGGAACCCCATCCAATTGTCTAACTTTGTGCTTTGGTCATCCTGCTACATGCCCCTTTGAAACATCATCCTGAAGGTGGTGTTCCCCCCCATCCCAACAACAAAACAATGGAAGGAAGCATAAGGACCCCAGTCATACAGCTAGGTGCTCTAGTCCTGTCCCTGAGGTTTTTGTCACAATTCACCTACATGGGTTTGTCTCTCAATGGTGAAACTTCCAAAACAAACGGTTTCCATTTTGCTTTTCCTGGAGTGACACCAGGCGGCCGTCAAGACAAACACCACGACCTGCTGGATTTGCAGGCACTTCTTCATCTGTGGCCATTGTGTTTGTGGCCGCGTGGCTTCCTGCAAGTGTTCATTCGAGCCTTGTGCCGCTCTGTTTTTGGCAGGGCAACGCGAAGCGACTGCGGTCTTGCTTCTGTCTAAAAGCTGGAAGCTGTGCCCGTCACTACTTGAACACAAAAAATCCATGGCTGGTACCCAAAGCAAAGATGGGTGTTGTAGACACTGGGGATGGCCGAGCTGATTGAACCTCAAGGTCCTACCAAAATCAATCATGTTGGCGAGATCGTCAGACATGGACTGCGAGTGGACTGCTGGTGCTCTTTTGGCCGTTTGCGAAAGGTTCCAAGCAGGGATCAAGCATGTGAATACACGCCAGTCAACACGAGTGTTTGGTGACGGCACAATGGCCATGTTTCGGGCCTCTTCTTTCTCTGTAAGTTGGGGGGGTGGAATTTGGGATAGGCAGGAGCTGCTGTTAGAACGGATCTACGAAGATCCCCGCTCCTTACTCCTTCATATAACACCAAAACCCCTAGAAATTCACCTTGTTCTTGGCCTCTTGAGTATTCCCCAAACGTTGGAAAGTGGGTGCGTCTTGTTTTGAAGGACCCTTTTCACCTTGGTGTCAATTTCGCATAAAATGACGTTGAAAGA